GAACAAGAACTGCTTAATCTAGATATGGAGTTCTTCCAAGACTCCATTGAGATTGTCTTTGAGGCTGAGGAGTTGTTTTGAATAACCTTTTTCTGTCTTTGTAAGTTGAATTTCAATTTCTTTGAAAATACATTAACTTCTTCTTTTTTTTAATAATTTTTTCTCAATTACCTGATAAGTACATATATATGCCAAGGTGTTAACAGTACCTCCTACTTTTACATGCATGCATGTATTTCAGTGTTTATTATGTGATTAAGTTCCATTTTGAAACTTAGTGATCATCTAATATTTTTGTTCATTCACATCATATAAAGTTTTCTCACCAAGCCAACTAACTTCATATCAAAATTTGATTACCTCAATAAGATGTTTTGTCTATTGCTAATCATTTGAGTTTAGTAATTATTTTCATATAAAAATAAATGTGTGTGTGTGTGTGTGTGTGTGTGTAGAGCATTTGTTGTTGTAAAAGGCTCAATTCCAGCATGAATCTTTCTCTAGTACAATCAGCATTTCTATCTTTTTTTCTCCGTTTCTTTTCATTGCTAATTTAATTTTTCCTTCCTTACAACTGCCACCACATCCAGTTGGTTGGTTAGTTTTAGTTTGATGGGACACTCATACTAGAGTTCACATGTGTACATACACACACGCACACATTTGTGCCTGTCTGGGAGTGTCTGTTGTTGTTGTTGTAGGAGGAGGAGGATGAGCAGCAGCAGCAGCAGTGGTACACACGCAAATATACAGAATCTTTGGGAGTGCTGCAAAACAATTACACCCAACAACTCTTTTTCACATGGACACTCACACACGCACACACCAGCACAGCATAGTACAGTAGAGCAGATCACTTGGGCCTGCAACACACACAGCAGACCGCCTTATTCTTGTTCTTGCATTAACCTGGTCGACCACTCTGCTGTGCTGACTTCCAACACAGCTTCGTATTTTCTATCAGAGAAATTTGGATGGACGACTAACAACTGTTTTGGGGGCAAGTGAAAATTTGCATGGGTTTTGTGTGGTATTGTTTCAATTGTTTCTCTTTTCTTGTATTAATCTTGTGCATTTTTTGTTATCTGTGCAGAGGAGAAATTTTTCAGTCTCTAATCATTATGATTTCACCGTCTTTGCTTTTAAAAAAATACCGATGTATATATCCTAGTGTTTACTATTCTTGATGATATGTATTCAACTTTCTAAGAGTTATTCATCTTGTTTGAATCCTCATTTGTAAAACTTTTAGAATTTATTTCATTATATCATTCATTATCACTACTTTTTCATATATCCTTATAGTTTTCAATATCTAAAATATCTCACTTGTCTTTTTTTATCTTAGTTCTTCCTTGATATCACTTTTTCTTTTCTTTTATTTTATATATTTTCATTATTTTTTCTTTATGTAGTTTATTTATCAGTAATATTCAGTAATAGGCAAATGATATAATAATATAAAATGCTTTTAACTTTTTCATATTTTGAAATTTAAAAATTTTTGAGTTTTTATTATCATTTTACTGATAAATTTATAATTATTTTGTATCATTTATTATTTTCCTACTTTAACTGTAGCACTTGTTTGTATTTTTCCCCCAAATTTATTTCCTTAACTTTGGTTGATATTTCCGTAACTTTGGTTGAATTCACATATCGACTGCTATCATGAGACAGACATTGGATTCTCTCCCCTGAACATAACAAACCTTTTTTTTCCTCATGAAACCCAACAGAAATAACTAAAAACCAACTTGTTACTTCCCATCAAATCCAGCAGCATAAATAACCTACCAGGATTAGCTTTTAGTGAATGAGGATTGACTGACTAAAAATCAATCTTCTTTCTTTAAGATTTTCCTTTGTATATTGTTTATTTGCTAACTTCTGGGGTATCATGTGTTTGTCTGATCCTAATTCATATCTCAGACAGGGTTTGTATTTAAACTTTTCAAAAAGTTTTACATAAGTTTCATTCAAACCAAGTTCTTGAAGTAAAAATTTCAATTGTAATGCTTCCTCTATTTTTGTACTTTTTGATTGCTTTGTTCTAAAAAAAAAGATTTTTTTCTTCTATTTTCAATTGCAATATATGTTAATTTTTTAAAAAATTCTTTTATTTATTTGCTTTCAAAATTTTAAGAAATTCTCAAAAGTAATGTATTCCTGTTTACTGAAAACATTTGGCTCATCTCATTTGGTAATATTTTGTGCACTTTCAGAAAAAAGTAATAAATCCATTTTTCAATCTACCAACTTAGTGATTTCAGATTGTTTTGGGGGACTACTATTGTAGTAATCAAGGCAATATGGAAAAATTCAGAAAAATTTTGCTGTCTGAATATTTAATGACAGACTTAATGCTTCTTTTGTAAAGATGTAGTTTGATAAAAAATAGTGGCTTTTTCTCCGATTAAATTTTTAGCATGGGAACTGAAGCATGCTTCTTTTGAATACACTGCCACTGTGTAGTAAAAAAAAAATCTTCTTTTTCATCATCATCATCATCAGCATCATCATCATCATCATCATCACCATCATCATCATCATTTATGTTTTTATTGTATTTATTTATTTTACTTTTGAGGGTTTTGGTATCTTTTTATTTTTTTAGCATTCCAAGATAATCAATTATCTCTTGCTTCAAGATAAAAGGAGATCTCTGAAAATAGGAAAAAAAATGCAGAAAAAGTGAAAAAGTGAAGAGAAAAAATATTTAAAATTGAAAAAAATATAAACTGGCAGCCATTTTGTTTTTCTACATTTTAAATTTTTCTTTCATGTTTTTTTTTTTCATTTTTCTCTCTTATTAAAAAGAAAATTAAACATAAAACATTCATCTTTCACTCATCTATTCCTATCCCTACTCTTCTCATGATAGCAAAGCTTACAATAGAAGAGGAATAAAAAAAATGACTGATAATGTTTTCCTCTTTATTTTTACACACACACACACACACACACACACAAATGTGTGTGTGTGTATATATATATATATATATATATAATGTGCACAAAGAAATTGTTTTATTTCTCTATCAACCCATGATTTTTTTCTCCTATTCAAAAGAGAGCGTATACTTCAAGAAGGAAAGCTAACTTAAAGTAGTAATGAGAAACAAAGGAAGACTTTGAAGAAAAATAAATTGTGAAGAATTGTAAAGAGGTTGGGTGATAAGAGTTGGAGGGAGTGGGATGACTGAAGGAAAAGAGGATAGAGTCAGCCAAAGCAATTTTTTTTCTCCATTTTCCACTTTCCACAATGCTATTTTCAAAAGAGAATATGAAAAAGGTTGATGGTTGCAGGAATTTGACTAGGGAAGAAGAGAAGAGAAAGAAAAAAAAACAAAAATAAGTCAAATACAAAAGAAAAAAAGAATGACATGCTGGTAACAAGGAAAAAGTAATAATCTGTACTTTCCAAACATAAATGTCATGTGTATTTTGGAGTTGTAAAGAGGAAAGTAGGGCTGTTTTATGTATATGCAAAATTAAATATTGTTGTTCTTGGAAACTATTATACATACCGTCAGGTGTTTGTTATACTCATAGGAGAGGTGGGGAGTTTTCTATGTAGATAGGATAGAAGTTAAGTAACTACAATTTTGTCTAAGATTATCTAGTTTGACTGTATTTTTGATAGTGATTGTCATCACAGTAATTTAAATAAATTGGTTTTAATGTTATCACTTTTAGCTCAGCATGTTTTTACCTTCATTTTTGCAGAAGATGGTTAGTTTAGCAAATATATAATCTGCAAACTCTCATTATTTATCCTTATTTGTTAGCATTTTTTTTTTTTGAAAAAACAGAAATATAAAAGCAATGATTTTACTTGATATTTTACTTGAACACTTATCCTTATTGTAAACAGCAAAGTTGAACTAGAAATTGGCAGAACTTGTTGATATATTCACTAAGAAAGCGTAACAAGACAGATTAGACTCTGCTTTGTTAACACCTTTCTGAAGTCAAAGAGAACTTTGTTTTCAAATCAAGAAAAACGTCTTTGCTTTTACAGTGCTTATACTTTCTGAACTATGCAGTATAAACTGAATTTTGTATTTCTTTCTTTTATCCAGTTTTATTAAGATGTGCATTTTCTATCACTTTGTTCAACTTTTTAAGTTTGTGACATCTTTATTATGAGCAGCATTTAAACAAGTTTTTATTCAGACCAACTGTTCATGTTTGTCAGTCTGAAAAATAATTAGAAGACTATTATAGAATTCATGATAACACAAAAATTCCTTGAATGGGTCCACTACTCCTCGCACTTGAATGGCTGGTCATAGTGCCTGCTTCAGCTTTGAGCAAGGAGATAGCATTTTCTTTTTAGTTTTATTCATTGATTTTTCATTAACTTTAAATATTTTATATACTTCTTTTAACATCATATTTTATATGTTGCAGTAAACATAAGCTGTTAACAAATACCCCTAGCATTAATGTCTACAACCCTTTATTTTGTGTATTGTAATCACATTCTTTATATGCAGCAGACTTATTATTTCAAAGTTATTTATTTCAAGTTTTTTTCTTCAAAATTATCAACTGATATGAAGTTTAAAACAAAAATGTTCTCTTTTTTTCAGATTATGTCATATATCAATGCTTGATTAAAGCTACTATAACAATACAGTACTCTTATTCCAACAAAATACATTCATTGTTAATAGACAGCAATTTTGTCAGCTTCCTTGTTTTCATTATTCTTTGATCATTGTCTATCTTTTGTACTGATGCTCTTTATAAATTAAATTCTTTCTTATGGTGTTTATAGTTTCCCAGCCGGTACAATTCAGTATTGTATAAGTAGTCTATATCCGCTTTTTAATAAATAGGTGAATAATTTTCTTATTCCAAAAGTCAATGACAGTTTTGTAATCTGTGTGTGTCATGAATCTGTTGAGAGCAAAGTTTATGTGTCAATCTAACTGGTGTTCTGCTGTTTATTCTTTATTATTTTTGTTAATTTCAGGGAATATCTGGATGCCATGACGTCATCACAACCTACAAATGCATCAGAATGGCAACTTTATCGAGTTCTTCAGCGTGCAAATCTATTGCAGTATTATGACACATTCATTGCTCAAGGTAAACAGATGTTGTTTTAGTGGAATTGGTTTCCCCTGTATACTTGTTTGCATGCGTGTGTATGTTTTGACTATTTTGAGGGCAAAGCGTATTTATTCATTTGGTTATCTATTCACTTCCTTGCTTATGGATGTTATATAGCTCATTGTTCACTACAAATGTCATTATAAACTTGAAATGCATGAATTCTTTTTCTATTTGCTCAATACATCAAAGTTATTCTGTAAGTCAGTATATAATCACTGCTGAGAAAAATCACATTTTCTTTGTGTGTATTTATGATGCAAAAATTTATTTGATGTACTTATCTTCATTATTTTGGTTATGATAATTTAACTGATTGCTATCCAACAATCTGCCCTCTGAGGACATTTTTCAATTTGCTATGGAAGCATTAGATTACTTTGTAACAGATATTTCAAATGGCTAAAAAGTGAACAAAAATCTATTGGTACATTGCAGTAATAAATTGAGGTTCACACTTCAGTGTATAATATTTGATAATGTCCAAAGCTGGGTTTAAATGTGGTGATGAAAAAAGAACAATGTGTAAACTAATTTAAAAATACTAACATTTTTTTTGTATTTTGTTCTAATGTAAACTTTTTAGATGATAGTAACTAATAAATTTAATGTTTTTGGTTTCAGATATTAAAATCTTGGTATTTTATACTGTGCTCATGATGATATATATTCAGTGTGTATAAAAATGGTGTGTGTATGTATGTGTGTGTGTGTATATATATATATATATATATATATATATATATATATATATATATATATATATATATATATATATATATATATAAATTTATTTGACCCTGACAAGCAGCTTTACTTACATGAAACTCTGGAGTCGCTCAATGAGAGGAAGCCCATTGAACATTTATTGATTTATTGAATATATGTGTCTAAATTGACTATTTTGAATAGTTTGAAATTCAAATAAATCCATCAATTCTTAAAAAATTTTAACATGCTGATTTAGAAACTACTGAACTATCATAATTTATAATATAATTGTAGCAATGTACTCTGCAAAAATAAATTCAATAATATATATATATATATATATATATATATATATATATATATATATATATATATATTATTAATCTTTTCCCATTATGAAAATATTTTATTTTTGGTTATAATTTTTTAATTTCATTCAGAACAATGCAATATATTTTGAATTTCTTTTTAATCTTTAATTCATTTTATTATTTTGACTGATTTTCTTATTCAGATTACAACTGAAATACACCTTTGTAGCCTAAAAGTCTTTCTTAGCTTATACACATTTGTTTATGCGTGTCTCTTGTGTTCACCTATAAATATAGTGTATTGATATATTTTATTTTATACATATAGCCTGGAATTTTGTGTGTACATGCTTCTTATATTCATATAACCTATGTAAATTTGTTCATGTATTTGTATATAAGACTGTGTATGTATATGTAAATTTTGTATGCAGTCATATGTATGATACGTACACTAATATAGAATTATTGGATAGACATACACATTGATTATGTTGACTCCATGAATTTTGTCTTAAATTTTAAAATATTTTATTTTTGTATATTTAGTTATTTAGAGAATTTCATTAGCAATTTATTACTTTATAACTGCCATATGTAAATATAAGAAAAAATTGATTAATAAATTTTATATTATATTATGTACAAAATTCTCTTTTGCATAATGTAAGTAAATTTATTTTTAATCTCCTTTTCTGCTATTTCTTATTTACTTCAGGAAATAGTTTTATATAAATAAAAAGAATATAATGTTAATATTTTGTGCTTTCATGCTTTCTTATAAAAATATGATGCATATACTCAGTTTTGCACATACATTTATATACTGACTGACCCCCAAAACCAGAACTTAATTATTTCTTCAAAATTAAAAATCAGTTAGTAATTCTGTATATAATATGTTTCTTTTAACATTATTTGATGCAGAGAGATTTGGAATAATATCAAATGTTTATTGTAAAGTGGTTTCCATTGGTATAATGTACTTAATTTCTCAATAATTTTATACAGATAAATTTTGGCATGAATACTTATGTTGGCATTTATTTAGCATTTTAATATTTTCATCATATTATATTCATAATCCAGTATTTTTTTTAGTTATTGGTTAGGTTTCATTGTTCTTGATGTTTATTATATAAAGAACTAATTTTAAGAATTTAAACAAAATAAAACTAAGCTAATTTTGTTTGAATGACATGACCTTTGTCACTAGTAAAATTACCTCATTAACACTAATTAAATAAAAACTGGAGTTCATTATTTAAAAATACTTTATTTGTATTTATACTGCCATTTGAAGCAAAGTATGTTGTAATTTTTTTCTAATATCAACATTTCCTTCAGTAGAATTAAATTCTGCATACAATAATACCTAATATAGCAAAAAAAAATTTATAATCGTTAGGATGTAAAATAATATTACAAGGTAACTCTTAGCACATCCTTAATTTAAACATACTTTTTCAGTATATGACTGTTTTAAGTTTTATAATTGAAGTTGATTAAAAATTTGAATTCAGTTTTAATTATTTAAAAATTTAAAGAATTTTCTTATATTCTGATTAATTTAACAAGTTTATTTTACTTTGTTATTATTTTGGATACAGTAAATTGTCTTCAGATTATTTGTATTGTTTCATTATTGCCACACTATATCAGATTTTATTATGCAAGTTGATATTTTCACAATACAATTGGTCTCAATTGACAAATGTAAAATATTTATATAACTATATGAGCAACTTTCTGCTTATGACATCTATCCTTATTAAAAATGTTGATAATAATTTTTTTGTAGGAGTGTTAGATTTTCTTTGGTTTTAATAGTTTTTTCCTATATATATATATATATATATATATATATATATATATATATATATATATATATATATATAGTTTTCACTGCTGCATTGTTATAGTAGTGTTGCCTGATTGTGCTGATAGATTTTTGGAAGAATATCAAAATTGCCATTTGGAAATGAATGACTATAAAAATGCTGACAGTGGGATGCCACTATTTTGGTTTCAGTTGGATACTCTGCAGTACAGACTAAGATAAACAACACCACCAATACACAATATAATAAAAATATGTCACAAAACAGATTATAATATATGCTACTATATGTCTAGACTAGTTTGGAAATGGTACTAAGTGCTAATTAGTTCATAACATTGATAGGAACTGACATTTCACAGTGTCTTGAAAACATACATACATACATATATATATATATATATATATATATATATATATATATATGTCAACAGCAGGCAATATAAGTTTTGTAAAGATGAATAAATATATCACAACAGTAGAAATATTAATGATGGACCATAAGTTTTCTGTTGCATTAATGTCTGAAGAGGTCGGGTGCCATTAACTTGGTATCTCTGAAATATTTCTTGGCAATGTGAGCAATAGTCACCCTTGCAAAACATGAAGGTACATTGATTTCTGTGAATATGCTGCTTAGCTTAAAGTGTCCTGGGTGAAAACTGTACCACTCAAATAATTCTCTACATTTATCTTTAGCCACCACCAACTTTCAAGGGAATTTAATTTTATTGCCTACAATACTAGACTCAAATATTACTCTGATTCCCACTATTGTTTTCTAAGTGTATAGGTTACCATCACGTAAATCCAATATAGCTCTAAATTCATCAAAATTACAGTTGAGAAATTCGTTTTCATTTACTTCTTTGCTTAACTTTCATAGTTCTCTTTTTGATGTTTACTTTAAGGTAGCATTTTCATTGTTTCATGTCTTTAACCAATATTATTAATATTTTGAATTTTTTTCTCTTAACATTCATAATGCCAAATACCAATCTTTTTCATATCTTTTACTAGTCAATTTACTCTTCTTATTTATTATTTTAATTTTTATTATATCTCTTTTTGTGACATTCTTAAAGCCAGATTTTTTTTCCTTGTTCTTATTTTACCAATGGTTTCAATTTCTGTTCAGCTTTTTTCATAATTTTCAATGTTAAGTTCCCATAACTCAGTAACTGTACAATAGATTATTTCTCTTAAGTTTATATCTTATAACAAACATCAATTTTTCATATCTGAAAATAATAAATATCAGTAACTATATTATTATATATATGTAAAATGTGTGTATATATATATATATATATATATATATATATATATATATATGCAATTTTTGGTATATATTATTTTTATTATATATGTGCAGTACTTTTTGGAAAATGCTCAATTTAGTGATAGAGCTAACATATTTAGTTGGATTGATGTGAGTTTGTGACCCTGGGTTTCACGCTACTTGCGATCGTCAGATTTATTTATTATATGATTGAGTTGCATAATAAAATTTCACAACATCAAATATTATAAATGTTTTTGATAAAAACAGATACTCTATATTAAGTTGAAAATCACAGGCTATATTTATCATTTAATTATAAGTATATACTGAAAATTTTACCAACATCTGTTGGCTAATATCAATTTTTTATTGTGAAAATATTAACTTAGATAATAAAATTTGACATGCTGTATTTATTTAAAATCCTCCTTACATTACATATCTTTTTTAACTTTCAATATTATTATCTTCCTCACAAATAACAAATGATATTGATAGGCTCTTATACTGAATAATGTAAAATGTTTATTCAAGTCTGTCATAAAATAATTCTTTATTTTCTTGGTAGCATTACTTTTGTTAGACATGTGAGTTTATTACAATATGAAGCAGTCTTTAGGATCTTTAATTAAGGGTTTTGTTTTATTTTTTCATATATTCTGATCATTTTATACTGCCTGAACAAAATAAAAATTTTCCAGATTCTCATTCAAATTTACTTTCTCATATGTAAGCATGATAGAAATTGACATTGATATCATTCTAAGATGTATTATTTTATAAAATCAGTTATAGATTATTATATTTAGTAAGTTTGAATATTTTCAAT